AGGACCTACTATATGCAGGATATTAAATATTGAGTTTCACTTCTTATGGGTGTGGTACAGAGGAAGCTATGCATTTAAAATAATACTATCCTGTCAAGTTATTGATCTACATTGTATATATTTCCTGGTCATAGGCAGCTTCCACACAGAAACATCTGGATGCAAATTGAAGAATTCAATTACTCAGATCCAAGTGGGTATATCTGTTTCCTGGTAGCTGGATAATTGACTTATAGCTGGCTTCCTACAGATATAGCCCAAAGCTATTTTGACAAAGGCAGAATGAAGTAATAGTTTTTTTTAATGTTGCTAAGAAAAAAATCTTTGCAGACATGCTTCGCACTATGCAGGTGGCCACGAAAACAACTGAATTATAATTGCTACTTGGTCACATCGAGATGCTACATGAACCCTCTGATTAATACAACAGTGTGAAAAATATGTCAAGATACTGCCATAATATTGTCTGATATTTTGCCCCTGGTAAATCTTCTGAGGCATTTCCTTGCCCCTGAGTAAAACAATGATGGAAAAGTAGTAATTTCCCAGGAATGAGGGGAAGCCAAGAAGAGGTTTAAATTTGGGGCAGTAGTAAAGCAAATGTTAAAAACAATGTTTTGAAATCATTGTTACTCTAAAAATCCAACGTTAGACGTTTTTTTGTGGTAGCCTAGTCTCTGAAACGAGAAAACAAAGTTAAACATTTGAAGAATGAGATGACAATCTGGATTTTTTTTCTTTTAATATACTTTCGTTAATTTCATCTGAGCCTTGGCCTCTCAAATCGCTGGAATGGAAGGAGTCATCTCCATGCATTTGACGGGGAAAGAAGGAAGACTGGGGGGTGGGGGGTTGGGTAGAAGAGGGAGGAAGTAATGAGAATAGACACACCTCTCCTTACACTCAAAAGACACTCTGCTGTGTTGCTCCATTCCCTTCTGTCAAACAGCTTCCCACACAAAAGCCATGTGTAAAGGGAAGGAGGTGACAAAGCAAGTTGTTGACAATATGCAGTGAAGTTCATCTCTGGCGTCATTAGGAAGAGAAATGGAAAGTAGAAGCTCAGGGCTGTCGGGAATTTCAAATGTGCTGTTTGCCCAGATGATGGAGAAGACCTTGTTTACTCTGTCTGAGTTCATCCTGCTTCCGGAATCTGCAGGGACTCCCTAGTGCTTCTCAAAAGTTAATGTGATTGGCAGATTGGAGCCACCTGGGAATCGTGTTACAATGCAGATTCTGTTTGGGTGGGTCTGAATTCTGCATTTCTTACACACTCCTAGTTAATGCCTGCTGCCGGTCCATGGTCCATGCCTCAGGACCCAACAGACCCAGGATCACAGTCCTCTCCTCTGGATGTGACCCACACCCCAGCTGAGCTGAACCACTTGCTCTTTCCTAGACAGAAGTTGTACTCTGCTTCTTCAGACCCCCCACCCCTAATTCCCAATCCCCCATAGGATTCCCAATGCCTATGCCTGCAGCAGTAAGAACAAAAAATGTTTTCTATTCTGCCATGCCGCCAACCTCATTTCAAGGGTATGTTTGCAATTCCTTCTTCCCCTAATGGTACTTGCTAATACTTTTGGAAGCTCCTGGAACACTTCGACTCTGTCTCCTTCTCCTTCTTCTTTGTCTTCTTCTCCTCCTCCTTCCCTCTTTCTTTCATTTGACTATTTTTAGTGAAGCATACTAAATGCCTGTGCTGAGGGCGAGGACTCTGGGATGAACAAAGCTCCTGCCTCCTGACTTTCACAGGCTGGCTGGGGGCATTTGGAGAGAGTAGGGGTGCAACGCAGTCAGTCAGTCAATATGGAGGTGCTCTTGCAGAGAAAGCGTGCACTTCTTCTTCTTCTTCTTCTTTTTTTTTTTTTTTACAAATAGTTTATTGTCAAGTTGGTTTCCACATAACACCCAGTGCTCATCCCCACAAGTGCCCTCCTCCATGCCCATCCCCCCTCCCCCCCACACCCATCAGTCCTCAGTTTTTGTCAGCATTCAAGAGTCTCTCATGGTTTGCCTCTCTCCCTTTCCCCCACCATTTCCGCCCTTCTTCTCCCCCTTGTTCCTCCGTCAAGTTCCTCCAGTCCTCCTATACGTGCAAACATATGGTATCTGTCCTTCTCTGCCTGACTTATTTCGCTCAGCTTAACACCCTCAAGGTCCATCCATGTTGCTACACATGGCCAGATTTCATTGTTTCTCATTGCCATGTAGTATTCCATGGTATAGATAAACCACATCTTCTTGATCCATTCGTCCGTTGATGGACACTTAGGCTCTTTCCACGTTTTAGCTATTGTGGAGAGTGCTGCTATGAATATTGGGGTCCATGTGCCCCTATGCCTCAGCATTTCTGTATCCCTTGGGTAAATTCCTAGCAGTTCTATTGCTGGGTCCTAGGGGAGTTCTATTGTTAATTTTTTGAGGAACCTCCACACTGTTCTCCAGAGGGGCTGCACCAGTTTGCATTCCCATCAACAGTGTAGGAGGGGGCCCGTTTCTCCACATCCTCACCAGCATCTAGAGTCTCCTAATTTGTTCATTTTAGCCACTCTGACTGGCGTGAGGTGGTATCTCAGTGTGGTTTTGATTTGTATTTCCCTGATGAGGAGGGATGCTGAGCATCGTTTCATGTGTCTGTTGGCCATCTGGATGTCCTCTTTGGAGAAGTGTCTGTTCATATCTTCTGCCCATGTCTTCACTGGGTTGTTTGTTTTTCGGGTGTGGAGTTTGGTGAGTTCCTTATAGATTTTGGATATTAACCCTTTATCTGGTATGTCATTTGCAACTATCTTTTCCCATTCCGTTGGTTGCCTATTATTTTTCTGGGTTGTTTCCTTGGCTGTGCAGAAGCTTTTAATCTTGATGAGGTCCCAACAGTTTATTTTTGCTCTTGATTCCCTTGCTTTTGGGGATGTGTCAAGTAAGAAGTTGCTGCGGTGGAGGTCAAGGAGGTTGTTTCCTGCTTTCTCCTCTAGGGTTTTGATGGTTTCCTACCTCACATTCAGGTCCTTTATCCATTTTGAGTTTATTTTTGTGCATGGTGTGAGAAAATGATCTAGTTTCATTCTTCTGCATGTTGCTGTCCAGTTCTCCCAACACCATCTGTTAAAGAGGCTGTCTTTTTTCCATTGGATATTCTTTCCTGCTTTGTCAAAAGATCTTTGTCAAAGATTAGTTGGCTGTATACCTTTGGGTCCAGCTCTGAGTTCTCAGTTCTATTCCATTGGTCTCTGTGTCTGTTTTTGTGCCAATACCATAGTGTCTTGATGATGACAGGAAAGAGTGTACTTCTGTGGAAGGGTTGAGAAGCTGAGTTTCAAAGGAGGATTTTAGATGGCTGAGAAGGGAATGAATATTCTTCGGGGGGGGGGGAGGGGAGTGGGAATCACCAGCAGCGTCACAGAAAGGAAGGAAGAAATGGCACTGTGGATGATACAAAGGGCAAGGTGAAGAGGGCCAGAGTGGAACCTGAAGTTGTTTTGACTTTCACTGTTGAGACTCTCTGACTTCTATCAGGGGCTCCAAGCCAAGACACCGTTCTTCAATCCCTTCACTTGACAGAGCCTCCTTTGGAACTCTGGACAATCACATCCAGCCTCCTGAGACACCCCGAGCTGATGAAAAAAATGAGGTTATTTGTTGGTCCTTGAGCATCGCCTAACCTGTAACTCACATACTCACACCTTCAGTGGCAGCCATTTCCATTTCACTCTTTGTGTTTCTCCAGGAGCAGATCCTGAGGCAAAGGCTTGAGTGCAGGTAGTTTATGTGGGATGTGAAGACCAGCAGGGGAGTGGAAAAGTGAAAAGGGAAGCGAGGACAAACAATATAGGGAGCATTAGCAAGCCCATTACTGCTTTGGGTGACTGCAGCTCCATCCCACTGAGGAAAGCTGGGGAGCCAGTGTGAAATGTATGTCCCTGCGTTACTACACAGGGCAAGGAAGATGGCAGTGCTCCGACATCCATTTCCCCCATCACTGGTGAGGGCTGGGGTGGCACGGGGGTTATTCCCCTGGGTCTTCTGCTCTCCCATGCATGGCAAGTGAGTCTCCTGCAGCTACAGAATGTCCTCAAGCAAAGACACGCGGGACCTGGCAGGCTGGATGCAGGCAGAGCTGGTGGGGCAGGGAGGCTGTGAAGTGTCTGACGCACACCCCACAGGACCCAGGGCCAAATCTCCTTCCTCTTTGCCTGCTCCCAATACCACCTCCCAGGCCAATCTTCCTAGCATCTGACTCTGCTGATTCAGTCTCCTGTTTTGGGTTCTCCCCCAACTGAAGCTTCCCTCCCCACCTGCTACTGGGTATAGCGCACACTGGAGTACTCACGGAACATTGATTGCATTTCTACCTGATGACTCAAATCCAACGGGCCACCTGGTGGATTTATTTTTAACATGATCCTGAAATGAAACTGAGATGACTTTACATCAGATACATATTTTATCTGTAGGTCAACATTTATATTACATCCTAGCTCTCTGATGACTGATGAAATGTGAGAGCAATTCGTTTTCGTCTCTAAGTCTGATTCAATCACATCACCATGCCACACTTAGGAGGCTACATTACATTGCCTCTTCTCTGCCCCAATTGTGCACAATCCTGCAATATTAGGGAGGTTTTGCTACAATTCTTAAGCCTCAAGCATATTTCCCCAGTGGTCTGTTTTTACGTGCTCTTTTCGGATCTTATAAATGGCATCCGGTTTAGGAGCCTGAAGTGTTAGCTGCACGTTTTGCTTTTTAGTCATTCACTCATCTTCTATTAGCAGAGGAGAGAACCAACCCCTCCATCCTCAGACCAGGGGTCTCAGGTGGTATATTACCACCTGTGACTCTAGCAGCAGGCAGGGGACTCAAGCCTGACCAATCAGAGCACACATTCCCTTTGGCCACTGTAATTGGTTCTGCAGGGGCATGTGACACAGTCAGAACCAATAGAATGCAATATGTTGGCTGAGATTGTTTCGAGTGTTTCCTTCTTTTCTCCTGGACTTGCACTTGAGAGGATGTTCACCAGGAACTGCTGCCAGCCATCTTATTGTCCATCCTGAGCCTGAGGACAAAGGTAACTGGGGAGAGAGAACTGAGAGATGGAGGCGGTGCTGAGACTAGATGACCGGTGTAGCCGAGCTTGGAGCCAGGGATCTTTCTGGCCTCAACGGTAATATAAGATAACACATCTCTTTTGGGTTATGATAGTTTGGTTGGATTTTCTGTTACTGCACCAAAAGATCTTGAGAGGACACAGAACCTGAGAAACCTGGATTTAAATCCCAATTCTGCCTATTGTTAGCTCTGCTTTTAAAGTTCAGTTTCGTCAACTTTCAAAGATGAAATAACCCCCTGACATGGGTATTGTGAAGATGAAATGAAATGATGGACTCAAGCTTCTCTGCCCAGTGTCTGTCCCCAAGGCAGGGATTGATGTATGCCATCCTTCCCTAAGCGTGTCCCAGCCCAGCAAGTGTAAAGTCCTACATGTTGGCTGCATTCCCATTATTGATAAAATCAGGAAAAAACGCACCCATTAAAACCCTGATGTTGAAGTATCCCAGGAGCACTATCAGACTCCATGCTGAGGAGGGCAGGAGCTCCCAGGTGGCCTAAGAAGACTTGTGTCATCTTTATGAGTTAAATAATTTATGTGTCTATGCTGGACCTCAGTTGTCTTCCTTTCCCAATGAGAAAAATAGCATAGAGATGGTATCTAAGGTTTCTTTCCGCTCAAAAACACTCTATGCCTCATTTCCTCTTCCTGCTTGGTAAAGTCTAACGTCCCTACAATTGTATTCAAAGCAGGGCCAAGACCCGGATGAGGGAAGTGGAAAGGCTAGGACAGAGTACACAAGGAGGCACTGGCCACACGCACAACTGGAAGAGTAAGTTCGTCCTTAAATGTTGCTCCCTAGGCACCAACCTTTCTCACTGTAGTCTCAGCCCTACTGTTTCCTGTCTAGAATAGATAGACGCCGAATGCCGTGTTCACCGCAGCTGGTACTAACTAGCTAGCACTGCTACATAATGTTGAATTTTGAATTAGCACCAGGAAGCCAGACCCTTCCTGGACCCAAATGAAGACATTTCCTGACCTATGAATTATGAGACTCATTTTAAGCAACCATGGAAACACTTCTGGATCATATTGCTCTATGTAGACTTTAGGTTTTCAATTCTTTTTTTTTTTAATATTTTTTATTTATTTCTAGGAGAGAGAGAGAGACAGCATGAGCAGGGGAGGGTCAGAGAGAGAGGGAGATACAGACTCTGAAATTGGCTCCAGGCTCTGTGCTGGCAGTCAGCACAGAGCCCGACGCGGGGCTCGAACCCACGAACCGCGAGATCATGACCTAAGCGAAAGTCGGACGCTTAACCGACTAAGCCACCCAGGCGCCCCTAGGTTTTCAATTCTGAATTAGTATAAGTACCAAGAACCTCCCCTAACCCCCACTCTGGCTTTTCTAGCACATCACAAGTACCACCATCACTCCACTCTTTATGGAATGATTTGGGGAGCTTCTTCTTTGCTGTCAGTCTTTATCTGGCAAGTATATTGATTGAGCTCCTTAAAACAAACAAAACCACCTCTGGTTTTGTTTTATTCTTTGACAATGTATGTATCATGTAGCTTTGGGAGAAAGAGTCGATTCCACTTCATTTATAATGAGGTGCATATGACTGAGAAAAGAGGCATGCAAGGAAGGAATATTCAAACACTGAGAACAGTGTAGAAATAATAAGACACGGGAAGGAGAGGCAAAGATTAGGTAGAAAGTGAGTTAATTTCAGACTCCATCTTCGATGCAGATATTCACATGTAAATGAGTATATCAATGTAATTTGAGCATTTGCCAAATACTGGGCACTTTACACAGGAAGTCTTATTTAATGCTCACAATAAATGAGAAGACATTGTTATCTCCATTTTATAAATAAGTAAACAAAGACTGAGCCCAAAGTCAGTTTCTCAAGGTCACAGGAGGTTAGAGTCTTTACTGAAAATGAAGACAGTTCGCCACCCTTTACAATTCTGCGACAAGTCAATGTGATTTTAATTGATTTTTTGCCCTTTATGCCCATCAAAGTTTTAGTGTTCTTGCTCATCTGCTTAGTTGGTTTTTCAAAATATTTTTGTTAATGTTTATTTATTTTTGAGAGAGAAAGAGACAGAGACAGACAGAACATGAGTAGGGGAGGGGCAGAGAGAGAGGTAGACACAGAATCCCAAGCAGGCTCCAGGCTCTGAACTGTCAGCACAGCGCCTGATAAGGGGCTTGAACTCACAAACTGCAAGATCATGACCTGAGCTGAAGTCAGACGCTTAAGCAACTGAGCCTCCCGGGGAACCCTGGTCATCAGCTAAGTTATAAGGGGAAGAAGTCTCTGGCCACTGAAAGAGCTAGTTTTAATTTAATAGTCTGCTTCAGTGAATGGAGTTACAAAAGAACTCTTTTGGAGACTTAGGATTCTGATTTCATGCTTGCTTTTCCAGCGAAGTCTCACAGCTTTGGCTGTGGCCATGTCTGTAACAGAGCTGTCAGCGTTAGGGTGTTCACAGCAACCCCTGTAAGATCCCAGAGGAACAACAATGTTCTCTCTCCCATCCCCCACACCTAATGTGTCAGTTACAAATACTTACTGATAACTCTGAATTTTGACAGCTCTAGAAAAGAACATTTTCCCAGTTACTGTCTTTTTAAGGAGTGGTTTCATGAGTGGACTCTCATGCAATTTGCCTGGTTGCGTTACTAATCCAAGCTCAGAATGAATCCAAACTCAAAACAACCATCTGAAGGAATCGCTCCAATGATGTTGCACCTGCTATTTTATGGTCCTCTGAAAAGGCATTTGTTTGTGAGAAACACAATTAATGCCATTTAGTTCCTTTCAAACACTCGATAGTGGATAAAGAATCATCAGAGGAGAAAATGAACAGTCCTTGGAAGAGGTAATTGTAGGAAACAATCACAGCAAGTGACTGGACCAGGACTGGCTCCTTCAGAGGCAGAACGATGACTCTGGCACGTGCCCAGGGCAGTCACTGATGGTTCCTAGCCTTCGTTAAAGCCATCTATGCAGAGTGAAACTAAATACCTAAAGTAATATGGACCATTCTGGGGTAAATTTTTCTTCATGTTGAAATATAGAGGATGCTCTTCATTTTAGAATCCTTGTGTGGTGCAGATATTCTCATGCAAATGAGTCCCTGGTATGTAATGTAATAAAGGGAATATATATAGAATATCTTTTGAAATTGATGTGATCAGTTAGGTATTATCAGTGGTCTTTTATAGCTTGAAAAATCTCAATAGTTAGTTCTGGTTACTGCTTTTAGTCTATTTGTTTTACCCACTAAGTATATTATATTTGTTAATTTCGCTATCTCCCCTCCAGACCTCCCCAGGCTATGAGCCCCTTGAATATTTCATCACGCAGTCAGCTCAGTGAGCCCCTGTGAAGCTTTAGGTCCTACTTGGCGCATAATTGATCCTCAATAAATGCTTGTTGGATGCACTGATTTCCCAAACTGATCTCCAGCTATCTTCACGTATGATTTCTAGTAATTTCTTAACAATTTCTCCTACAAAAACTGGGGAACCCAGTCAATAAACAGAATGTATACATACACACACACACACACACACATATAGATACATATATATGTATACACATATATACACAATATAAAATATAATCTGTGTGTATATATACATATGTATATATATGTATGTATTTATACATATACATAATCTGTATACATATACATATATATTTATATATACACCCACATACACAATTCCAGGATAGCCTGGAATAAACTCATGGCTTTCTCATAAACGGAATAAGAAAAGTCAGTCAGCTAGTCTTTTGACTATTTTCTTTACCTAGTTTTTTTCCCATTTCTACTTTAACTGCCACAAGCAACCTATTTATCCATTAGTGTATAGCTTTTCCTTTCTGCCATAAGTTTGTTTGTAGTTTATATTTGTTTCTAGGAATTCCTTCTGCTCTGAATTTTTACCTACTGTAGGGAGACCCAGAACAGCCAAGTTTTCAAGGGAAAGGTAGAGAAAGAGGGTAAAATATCAACCAAAACATAAAAGACAGGTTAGTGGATCTCTGCTAAATGGACTTCACACTGGTGTGTAAGTCTCTGTAGAAAAAAGAATTCAGAGTTGGGTGTGGGATGGCTATAAGTAGGGTAAGACAGAAGTGGAGAAGTGACCTCATTATAAGCTGTTTCTACAGGGGTTACTAGGGGTGAAGCAGAGTCATGCATCATTCTGAACCCCATAGTATTCAGCCCAGTGCCTGGGAGTTTCCCTTCTCTCTAACAAAAACTGGCCTTGGCTGAGCTCTTTACTGTCAACCTCTCCCAGCTCTTGTCTTAGTCTCTGCCCATATGTTAAGCCTAGTTGTGCAGCCTTCCAATTGATTAAGAGAGCCAAGCAGTAGCTTTCCAATAAAGTCTTTGTATGCCCAAACTGGCTTGTGACCAAGAACATTCGAAGATGAAAAAACTAAGAGATAGAGATGTTTGAAAAACTTGGCCAAGGTCATAGTTGCAGCCAATACTGTTGTGATCCAAGCAAAGCTACAGGGTTCCAGAGTCCATGCTCTTAACCAGTACCCAATACTGCTTTTTAAAAAAAATTTTTTTAAGTAAGCTCCACCCCCAATATGGGGTTTGAACTCACAACCCCAAGATCAAGAGTCACATGCTCTACCGATTAGCCAGCCAGGAGCTCCCAGAAATTGTACTCTTAGGTGCGGTAGATTACAAAACTCCATGCAATATTTTGCATATCCTTCTATCAAGAGGTAGAGTTTATTCTCTTACTCTGTGATTGTAGCCTGGTCTTGTGATTTGTTTTGTCCAAGCAAGTGTGTTAAAAGTGATATTGGGGGGCACCTGGGTGGCTCAGTCAGCTAAGCGTCTGACTCAGGCTCAGGTCATGATCTCATGGTTCGTGGGTTCGAGCTCCGCATCGGGCTCTGTGCTGACAGCTCAGAGCCTGGAGCCTGTTTCAGATTCTGTGTCTCCCTCTCTCTCTGACCCTCCCCTGTTCATGCTGTCTCTCTCCCTCTATCAGAAATAAATAAAACATTAAAAAGAGTTAAAAAAAAATAAAAGTGATGTTGGGCCAATTCTGAGCCGGGGCCTCAAGAGACCTTACAGCTTTTGTTCTTGCTGCCCTTAGAACCCTGACAGCCTAGGCACAAGCCTGAACCAGACTGCTGGGGGATGAGGGAAGACCATGCACGGAGCAGAGATGAACAATCCCAGCTTAACCCTTTGAGACCAAAAGCCACAAGACATCTTGAGCTGCTCATAAAAACATAAAAAGCTCAGCTCAAACCAACAAAGCCTGAACTCAACCTAAAGCGCCAAACCACAGAATTGTGAGCTAAATAAATGGCTGTTGTGTTGTCACTAACTTTTGAAGTGATTTCATGCAGCAAATGTCAATTCACTGAGTATCTTAGGGGTATCTATCCATCATCTACCTATCTATCTTCACTACCTTCACTAGTAGATATAAGAATTTTCATAGCTGCGTTGTTTATAACAGCAAGAAATATGGGGCACCTGGGTGACTCAGTTGGTTAAGCATCCAGCTTCAGCTCAGGTCATGATCTTAGGGTCTGGGGGTTCAAGTCCTGTGTTGGGCTCTGTGCTGAAAGTTCAGAGCCTGGAGGCTACTTCACATTCTATGCCTCCCTCTCTCTCTGCTTCTCCCCCACTCATGCTTTGTCTCTCTCTCTCAAACATAAATAAACATTAAAAATACTTATAATAGCAAGAAATATGAACCTATTTAAATAGCCAGCAATAGGGATATAGATAAACAAATTATGCAATATTTTGCAAAATTATACAGTGGAGAATTCTACAGCAGTGAAAATAAACTGATAGAACAATACCTTACCTGCTAACATGGGTGGATCTCACAAGCAATGGTGAGTGAAAACACCAAGATGCTGAAGAAACATATGCAATTTAGTTCCATTATTGTAAGTTGGAAAACATGCACTCTTCGGGGGGTAAAAGCCTATATAACTGCATAGAAACAATTAATTTATTGGTGAGAGGAGGCTAACTCAAAACAAGTCCACTTTTCATTCGTGTTACAGTCCAGTGAAGTTGGTAGTGAAAAACGGCACCATGCAGTCATTTGGAGACCCAATTATGTTCCTTGTAGTCCCCCATCCCCCTCTGGGAACTTCAGAAACTTCTCCATGCAGCCAGTTAAGGAGAGAGCTTGGAGGATTATTCAGGATTATGGGCTAGATTTGGAAGTGGTGTACTTCCATTCCATTCACATTCTTTCAGCCAGAATTCTATCATATGCTCAGACCTACAGCAAGGGAAGTTGGCACATACAATATACCTACATGTCAAAGAAGAAAAAAAGGGGGTAGGGAGGATTTTTTGAGTAGATTTCATTGTGATCACCACTGGATTGAATACGAAATATGTTCAGGGGAGAAGAAACGAAAGGCTTCAACTCTACTGTTGTGTTTTATTTCTTAAGCTAGGATGTGAATATACCTTTTTAAAATATTTTATTATACTTTTCTTCAAAAATTTATGGTTTTTTCTTGAAGTATCTCACAAGACAGTAAGAAGCTTACTAAAGTAATTAGATAGAATGTAGGGGCTCTAATCAAGGGGACTGGGATAAAAACAGTTCTTCTGTATTGACTATTCAAGAGAAGTGAATCAGAACTCTAATCCATGATCCTGGAAAAGAAGTAGGGATTTTGCAATTTAGAACTATATAGGAGCACAGGCTGACCCCTATTTACGCTGGGTTGATCTTTGAATCAAGATCGATTCTGGAAAGGAGTGAAAATAAGCACTAATAATTCTATCGGAGACGGGCAGGAGAGTCCAAACACCTAATTCCCTCACGCTTCTTTTTGGCTAACCAGAGCTCCCCACTACTATGGGTCCTAACATACACCTTCTTATAAGAGAACCATGAGATTTTAGAATGGGAAGGGTCTGTGAGGTCATAGACTCTTACCAGCTTTTCACCAAGGACAAGAATCTGCCCCAGTATCTTTGGCAGGTGATCATCCAGTGCCTGCTAGAACACTTTCACTGAAGAGTGTTCTGAGCCTTCTCTACGGGCCTGACTGTCCATGATGCACTCCCTCAGACCCTACTTTCTTTCAGGACAGGGCTAGATAATCCAAGGTAGCCTGTACTATATAACCAGCTGGACTGCTTTTCTTGGTATAGGTAATGGTCTTTCAAAGCCTTAACCCAATAGATGGTCACACCCCAAGCCTGATAAGGAATATCTTGGAACACATGGAAGTTTCATCAAAACTTCCAGGTGCTCACTTATTATCTGTTTATTTTCAAACAAATCTCTTTGCTATTGTAGGACACATACCTGAGATCAAATTTTTTTAAAAAATGACCATCTAAAATTGATACTTAGTTTATAGGAGGTCAGTCCCATGGTCATAGGTGATATTCCCTTCATCTGTGCTCCTGGAGAACTTTGTTTATTCCTCTTTTTTTGACACCTCATATAAGAGAAAGTTACATTTGAATATATTCTCTCTAGTATTTGAAAAGGTTCCCGTAGATCTCATTAATCAGCTATAGTCTCTGGTCTATAGAAGATGGCCAATGATAAGGAAAAAATATGGACATAAACATTAGAAAAGTAATGGGAAAAACAATTTTAAGGTATTGATGAAATGTGAAACGACTCCTATTTATTAGGAGTTATTAATGACTATCCAGCTACATTAAACAAAATAAATTATAGTGGGGATCATTCCAAGATTTCAATAAGAAGCTAGTTGAGTGAACTCTTAAGTCACATGCATGTTGGGAGGCTCTCAGAATACAGGTAAATGACCGTACTAAAAGCTCAGGCTGGCAGGAGTATGAAATTTACCCCTTTTCCCAGACAATGAAGAGTCAGCTATATTCGTGTGCTAAAATTCACAAAGATGCACATTTTTACAAAACAAGAGAGGTAAGATCAAAAGTGTTTTTTTGTCAACCCCCAGGCAGGAGTGCTCAGTTCCGAAAATGTGAAATTTCTCCTTCCCACTTGAGTATAGATCCAGTTGAAAGAGAAGCACAAAAGTCAGATAAAAACAATGACTTATGTCCTTGGGCAAATTGGTTTGCTACTACTTTCCTGAATTGAAAATTTCCCCCAGAGTGCAGGTCACCCCAGAAGGACCAAACCAGCTCAATTGTGCCTGTGGCATGGTGAAGGCATGATGAGAAGGAGCTGAAACTCTCTCATTGCATCCTCCATGATCACGAATCAGAAAAGACACTCTTCATTCGAGAGGGAGCAGCGATGGGGTGAGAAAGCCCAAGAGAGCTACGCCAATGGAAACTTCTCACACAGAAATGGGGGCAGGAGTCCATAAGTATTCCCCATTGACTAAGCAGGATTCCCAAATTCTGTTTGTAGTCTGATAACCCATTTCCTATGAAACAATGCAAAGTGCTCTCGCCTTCTGAATCTTTTTCATGACCCAGTAGAAGACTCTGTTTGACAAGTTCCCTGGAAGCCACACAGGCCTCCACAGCATTCCTCCCCCACCCCCCACCCCCCCCCCCCCGCCTCCTGGTGGCCCCAGTGAATGCTGATAGAAATGCAAAGACAGTCATCATTAATAAATACATAAGTAGGTCTGAGCTTTGATAGCAAGGCACAAAAAGAATCCGGGTGCATGAAATAAAGCTGCTTAGGATTCTGCTGACTGGTCTGAGGTAGAAGTGGTGCGGGCGGATTGTACACTCTTTCTGTCAAAGCCTGAGCGGCTCAAAGGGATTGTTCTGGAAAATCCCGAAGCAGTTATAAATTTATGGTTGCAAGTATTCTGTTGTTAATATGCAATTCTAGCTGGGGTTTTAGAATTGAGTATTTCAATTCAATTTGAAAAAAAAAAAAAAAGACTGTGAAGCCCCAAAAGCACATCAATCCTTTATAGTATAATTACATAGTCTTTTGTGGCTTTGTTCCAGGACTCTAAAGTGGATACATACACACACACATATATATGTTCTGTGAATTTATATATTTATATAAGCATATCACACAATGTCAGCTACTAGAGGTTTCTGACTCATAAATTGTCCTACCTAAACTGTGCCTCTTAAAATAGCAAAACCTCTTAAATATCAAAGGTTTCACATTTAAAAACTTTCTAAGCAGATTCTCTAAATTATTTAAAGAGATTCTGAAGACAAATTACCCATTTCTTAATTTTATCGTCATAAACAGAGATGCCTGCAGGATGAAGGTGGGTTATTGAAATATTTAGAGAGACTTGCCCTTCCATGTAATGGCGTGCCCATGCTTATAATCTCTTTGTCGCTATCAGCTACGTGATGTTTTAAAGATAAATTTTATGGGGGCGCCTGGGTGGCTTAGTCAGTTGAGCGTCTGACTTTCGCTTAGGTCATGATCTCGCAGTTCGTGGGTTCGAGCCCCGCGTCGGGCTCTGTGCCGACTGCCAGCTCTGAGCCTGAAGTCTGTTTCAGAGTCTGTATCTCCCTCTCTCTCTCTGACCCTCCCCTGCTCACCTGTCTCTCTCTCTCCTAGAAATAAATAAAAATATAAAAAAATTAAAAACTAAAGATAAATTTTATGGAGCACCTGAGTGGCGCAGTTCGTTGGGCGATAGACTATTGATTTTGCCTCGGGTCACGATTCCAGGGTCATGGGATCAAGTCCATGCTGAATGAGGAGCATGTTGGGATACTCCCTCTCTTTCTCCCTCTGTCCCTCTCACACTCTTTGTCTTTCTCTCTCTAAAAAAATTGAAAAAAGATTAAAATTTACAGACAATGAAATACACAGACCTAAAGTACAAAATTCAATGAGTTCTGATAAGTATTTCACCTGTGTTAGCATCCCAATCAAGAACTAGGATGTTTCTATCTGTACAGAGTCCCCCCAACGTCCACTTGAATGAAGTCTCACTTCCTCCGTAGGCAACCACTGTGCTGATTTTCATTCCACACATTAACTTTGCCTACTCTTAAATTTCATATAAATAGAATTAACAGTATGTAGCCCTTTATGTCTGGCTTCCTTCACTCAGCATAACTTTTTCAGGACTCATCAGTGCTGTTGCATATATCTATAGTAACTTTCTGCATTGCTGATTAGTATGCGATTGTTAGAATAATTGCAATATGTTCTTCCATTTCTCTTATTGATAGATATTTGGATTATTTCCTTTTTCCCTGTTATGAACAAGGCTGTACTAGACTTTTTTTTAATAAAAATCTGGATATACATATGGAAAACAAATTTGGGCCCCCTACATCAAATCACATGCAAAAATTAGTCTGATTGATTATAAAATTAAATGTAGAAACTAAAACCATAAAGATTTGGGGGGGGGGAGAAACATAGAATATCTTCATGACCTTGAAGCAGGG